ATTAAGCTGGCCACGGAGGTTGGACGGCTGTCAGGTGGGGACGCGGCGGACATCGAGAAGGCGCGCGAGGCGTTCGCTTCGCGTCCGTGCCAACACATTTCTACCGCAAATGGGTCGGCACGAATGCAGTTTGTGAATGGGTCGGCGCGTTGGGTCTCCACTTTTGTTCGTGCCGACCCAAACGGACGGCGGAGGACGAAATGGGTACCTGCGTTGGAGTAGCTCTGAGAGGCATAACTTTCACCCGGTTGCACTTCTGACAAAGCAACTCCAACGCAGCGACCCATTTGGTCCGCTTGCGTCCGTCTGTGTCTGACTGGCCAAAAATTAATGCCCAACACAGTGACCCATCATTCCCATTTTGTGTCCATTTTGTATCTACTCGGATCCATTTCCATCACAAATTTAGGTCATTTGGGTCGGAGGCGGGCACAAACCAGATGTTTCCTGCGTTCGCCTCGGTCCGGCCTGGCCCATCTGTCATCCACCTTCCCCATTCCATATCTCCTCTTCTTTTCTCTCCCCCTTGGCCCACCACCCACCCTCCCGCCATGAGCCAATGACGTGGCAGCGCTTCCTTCAGTGTCCTCCAGCGGTGTGGCACCGCTCCGCTAGGTCCGCGCGGAGGTAGGCGGCCGGAGGCGCCCGTCCCCGCCGGCGGATCTCGTCGTGCTAGTGGTAGTACTCACTCGATCTGGCAAATCTCAATGAAGAAGTGGGCGACTCCGGTGGTGCTTCTCGACATGCGAGAGCAGAATGTTGCACTACACATGGGCCTCGGCGGCGGCGATGGTGTAGTTTTCCTCGGGCCAGAAGGCTAGGTGCCGGTACATGACCCCGGTGCCCCGCAGCACCTCGGCCGTGGTGGGCACGTCCGTCGCCGGCTCCACCACCACCGTGACAACCGGCGAGCGGACCAGGCGCAGGAGCTCCTCCGCAACAACGCTCATCCCCGCAAGCGAAGGCACGCATGCGCCGTTCATCTCGACCAGCGACCGCAGAAGCCTCGACGGCTCTTGTTGTTTTTTTCAAAAGAATAGGCTATTTCCGCTCAAAATGGGTACGCTCGCGTTGGGCGCACAGGTCGACCCAAAACAAAAGGCGGACAATATCGTCCGCTTGGCCAATTCAAATGGACAAAATGCAAGAAAAAACAAACACGATTTGGGTCACCGCGTTGGAGTTGCTTTTAAGCGCACGACCGTAAATGGATGCCCGATTTGTCTAGATTTCTGTTTGCGTCAGCAAAACAGACACGAGTGTCCATTTGCAATCATCCGCCAATCGGTGCACCTAACGGCCCGTTGCATTTGGCAAACGCGTTCGAGTTTACACTTCAATTATAATATAAAAAAGACATAAAAAGCAATTTAAACAATAACTATCTATTACATTAAAGTTCTCATGGCCGAACTATCCACATACATTAAACTTAAAACATTAAAAAAAACTTACTCCAACTGAAACCCTAGATCGGCCGTAGCCGCCATCCCGGCCGCCGTCTTCACTGCATGCCTTTGTTGGTAAACGTTGCATGGAAAACAAACATTTTCTACGCGCACGCAATGATCTATCCATGGAGATGCATAGCAAAGAGAGGGTAGAGTGTGTCTACGTACCCTCATAGACCGTACGCGGAAGCGTTTGACAACGTGGTTGATGTAGTCGAACTTTCTTCTAGCTCCGACCGGTCAAGTACCGAACGTACGGCACGTTCGAGTTCTGCACACGTTCAGCTCGGTGACGTCCCTCGTCTTCTTGATACAGTAAGGTGTCGAGGTAGTAGATGAGTTCCGTCAGCACGATGGCATGGTGACAGTGATGGTGAAGTGATCCGCGCAGGGCTTCGCCTAAGCACTACGAAGATATGACCATGG